CTAATGTGCCCCAAAGGCTGTGAGTCTGAAGCATGTAAATAGCAGAATGAATGCCCTTTTCAGAAGCAGCACAAATTAACCCTTGAAGAAAGTTTCAGAAAGTAAAAAGAGAAAAACAAATTGTTTTAGTCTGCTTGGGATTCCACAATGAAAATCCAAATCCTGAATGAATGGCTTAAACGATATGAATTTATGTTTACACATTTCTGGTGGTTAGGGAGTCAAAAAGTCCAATGTAGCATCTACTCAATTCCTGGCTTGCAGATGGCTATTCTGACCTGGCTTTTTATAGGTGAATGTGTACAGAAAAAAAACAAACCACCTAAACTATCAGTGTGTCTTTCTATGGGGACACCAACCATATCAGAACTGGGTTCCCACACTTACAAATAAACTAAGATTTGATTTCCTCTTTAGGAACCTATATTAGTTACTTTCCTTATCGCTGTGACAAAATCTCTGACAAAAGTAATTTACAGAAGGAGTTCATTTTGGCTCCTAATTTTATAGGACATAATCCATCCTGGTGGGGAAGCCATGGTGATTTGAGCAGTCCCATTGCTGTCTGGAGTATGAATATTAGCAGATCATAGAGCAGAGACCTTGGTTGAGAACCACGAGTAGATGTAGCTGTTGAAGGCTTGGCTCTAGTGACTTATGTCTGCCCCTAGTCTTCTAAAACAATGTAAGTAGCTGGGGACCAAGCATTAAACTCTGAGAGGACCTTTCAACCCCAAACCAGCCCTACCTCCAAATATATCCATATTGAGAGTTAAAGCTTCTAGCCTGTGTATTGTTACGATAAATCTTTCCTCCAAAAGCTGCCTGAGCCCCACTGCCACGTGTGTGCTTTACGCCAGCCGCCTGCCCAGGTTAGGCCCAAATGAATACATAGAAACTTGTATTAGGTTCAAAGCTGCTTGGCCAATGACTAGGACTTCTCATCTGTTAGCTCAGTCTTAATTATCATAAATCTATATGTGTTTTTTTTTTGTTGTTTTTTTTTGTTTTTTTTTTTGGTTTTTTCGAGGCAGGGTTTCTCTGTGGCTTTGGATATGTTGTTGTTTTTTTTTGTTTTTTTTTTTTTGGTTTTTTCGAGGCAGGGTTTCTCTGTGGCTTTGGATACTTTGCCCTGCCTCATGCTGGGATTAAAGGTGTGCGCCACCAACACCCGGCAAATCTATATATAAGACTTATCTTATCGGACGCCTTAATGGTGTCCCTCCTTGTCAGTGGATCACATTGTGCTGTAGGAGTGGAGGGGAAAGAGGGCACTTCCTGTTTCTCCTTCGCTTAAATATGAGTCTCCTTGCTATGTCACTTCCTGCCTGGATCATCACTTTTCTACTACATTTCCCAGAATCCTCTTTGACTCCTAGTCCTGTCTAACTTGCTGTCTCATTGGCCAAACAGTATTTTATTTAACTATCAATAAGATAAACATACACAGTACATTCCCCCATCATCTCCTCTTTTCTGTCTAAATAAAAGAAGGATAACTTATCTTTTATAATAACTGAAGAAAACTATAACCATAACTATCTGTCTTCAACTCTATCAAAGACCACAGAAGGATAATATATAAACTATAGAATTGACAGAGGCATCTTGCTACCTGGACAGTCACCCAAAGTTCCTCTGTAATGTTGGGGCATCCATCTTCAGCTCATAGGCCACAGTGTGTCTAGCACACTTCTCCATTTTAACAGGAACCCTTTAGTGCTGTCTTGTTTTGTAAGTTCAGCAGTCACTTTCTTGTGGGTTCTGCATGTCCAGTGTATATAGCAAAAATTGTCCAGGCAAGAGCAGTTTCTTGCCCAAATGGCTAATCTTGCCATGTTGAAAG